GCGAGGAGACCGTCACGTCATCGCAGCCACTTTCAATGCTAATCTCTCCTGGGCTCGAGTCGAAGAGTTCATGGAAGAAGAGATCGAGCAGATCATCAAGAGAGGTGGCGTCCCCATCGTAGCGGTGCAGGAGCACGCGAAGCCAGCAGAGTGGTTCAACGTTACCGCAGCGGCGCAAGAGCGACGTGGCTGGCGAGTTGTGGGGGCGCCTGCCGTGCGCGCGGCGGAGGGCGGCCACTCGGCGGGGGTGGCGCTGATCACACCGCGCTGCCTGAGCCTCAGCCTGGCGCCGGGCCAGGCGTCGTGGGACATCTCCCCCGCGGGCGCCGCAGGCAGGCTGTGCTTGGCCATGACCGAGGTCAAGGGCATTGGGTGGATGGCCCTCCTCTCGGTTTATTTGTTCACGGGCAAGCCAGTCACCTGGGCTCCGAACGCGGCCCTGCTGGACACCATCGTTCATTGGGTCTGCCAGATGAGGATTCCCTGGATGCCCATGGGCGACTTCAACAATGAGCCGCGCGCCATTCTGGACAGCCCCTGGAATCAGGAGGCTAAAGGCCAAGTTCTGGCCTGGCAAGGGGAAGGAGGCACTTGCAGGTCCAAGGTGGTCAAGCAGGGCGTCGAGGAGTTTAAGGATCGGGTCATCGACTTTTTCTGGGTGGATGCGAGGCTTGCAGTGATCTTTTGCCCAGTGAAGTCTTTGGAGAACATGCCCTGCAGGCCGCGCAGGCCGACTTGGATCCGCGCCGACAAGCCCTGGCACGCGTGCCAGATCCAGGTTCTCAAGGGCCCCAAGCAGTACCCCATCACCAGGCCGCCGCCAGTCAGGCAGCCCGAAATCCCGCAGGGCTACCCCAAGATCAACCTGCTCCACGGCTCCCAGCAGCACCTGGACCAGTGCTGGAGGGGGTTCTGCTCTGCAGCTGAGGCCGAGCTTCGATCTCTGTTCGGTTGGACGGAGTTGGAGGCACGCAGGTATGAAGGCCGAGGCTTGACTCCCGAGGTGGTGCAGAGACAGCTTCTTCCGAAGCATGACAGCCCAGTGGCCGATCGAGGTCCTGCCAGGGCCTGGCGCTGGGCCGCGGGAGAACTGGCCTGGATAGGCCAACTCGTCTGCTGTGTCTTGCGGGGCCAGTCTGTGCCCATGGCCAAGGCGGAGGCCTCTGCAGGCCAGAACACCACCTCGGGAGAAGGGCCTCCTCGATCCTACAACGAGGAGGTAAAGGGCCAGCTCAGACGGGCCTGGAGGAAGCTGTTCCAGGCGAGGCACCACTGGGACCAGATGGAGCCCTGGAGCGCGGGGTTCCTGCCCACGCTGCGCATCCTCTCCGACGTGGAGCCCCACTTCATGGGCGCGCAGGCCATCTTCGCGCTGCAGCAGTTCGCCAAGGTGAGGGCCCAGACCTGGGAGCAACACCTCATGCGGCAGCGGTCCAAGCGAGTCTACGAGCGCCTGAGTGCGAAGTTCCCAGGCTCGGGGGGGTACCTGCACCGCATCTGCCACTGGAAGCAAGCGTGGAAGGAGCCCATCTCGTCGGCCAAGAAGCGGAAGTTACCATCGGATCCGCAGCTCGCGGTCAACCAGGAGGCGCAGGAGTGGGCTGGCATCTGGCGCGCTGGGTCAGGTGACTACACCAAGTTGTGGCAGGACGCCCAGGTCCAGGCCCAGCGGATGGCCCATGTGCAGGAGCTGCCCATCACCGACGCGGTGCAGGTGCGCGCAATTTGCCGCAGCTACAAGTGGAAGACGGGGCTTGGGCTTGACGGCTGGCACTTCGGGCACCTGGCCTGGCTCAGTGACGAGGCCTTGACCAGCCTCGGGGACATCCTCATGTTGTGTGAGCGGCTCTGCTCGTGGCCCACGGCCATGCGCATGCTTATCCTTTTCCTGGTCGCCAAGGAGGACGGAGGCGGCAGGCCCATCACCCTCTTTCCCACGCCAGTACGCATCTGGGAGGCTGTTCGTGATCCTTTGGTTCGGCGATGGGAGCGGGCACACGTGAGGCCCTACGACTGGGCATCACCAGGGCGCAGCAGTGAGCATGCTGTTTGGAGAGCGATGCTGGACGACGAGGCCCTGGAAGGTACCTGTTTTGCGTCACTCACCGCTTTGGTGGATTTGGAGAAGGCGTACGAATATGTTGCACTAAATTTGATTTGGATTTTCGGCTTGGTGCAGCATGCACCCATGAGTGTCTTGGCCCTCTCACTGGAGTCGTACGCTTTCCCTCGGGCGGTACGAAAGGGCCACGCCGTCGCCGACGCCATCTGCACCTACGTGGGGCTGCCCGCTGGGTCGAAGTATGCCAGCCGCTTCCTGAAGATTGTGCTGTATCCGATACTGGACGTCGTGGCCCGATGGCCAGGCGCTAAGCTGGAGATCACCAAGTTTGTGGACGACCTAGCCTTGCGGATGGTGGGCAGGAACACACAGCTGAAGGTGATCTTCCCCGACCTGGCCCGCACCCTCATCCACCTCCTGGAGTCGTTGCTGCAGCTCGAGGTCTCGAAGGGCGAGGGAGGCAAGTCGAAGTTCGTCTCCAGCGACGTCTCTTTGGCACAGGAGCTGGCTCAACCCATGGCGGACATCGGCCTTCAGCACGGCGAGAGCGAGCGATGGCTGGGCGTGGACTACCAACCCCAGGGCCCTCGGAAGAAGGCCACAAGAGCCAGACGGTTTAAGACTGTTCGAGGACGCTGGCACAAGGCGGCGGCCCTCAAGCGACGAGGGGTGAGGATACGCCCTGTGGTGCAGCAAGGCCTCAAAGCGTCAGTTGCGTATGGGGCGACCTGCGCTGGCACACCTCCTGCCGTTCTCAAGTTCGTCATGGCCAAGGCAGCTGCTGTGCGCGCGGGGGCTGGGACCTTTCGTTCGGGCACGTTGGGCTGGGCGATCGCGCCGAGGACGGACGGCGCCGAGCAGCTCAGGCTCGCCCCGCTTCGGGCATGGGCACGCGAGGCCTGGGATCAGCCCGAGAGACGGAAGGAGATGGCCCACGCGCGGGGCCGTCAATGGCCCAAGGTGCAGCGTGCCCTCACCTATGGCCCCGCCAAGTTCGACGCCTGGAAGATGGTGAGGGGGCCAGCCGCTGCCACCATACTGACGGTGCACGAGCTGGGTTGGCACATGAAGGACGCTTGGACCATCCTCGACGGCGTGCACTGCAAGTGGGACATCCGCGAGGTCGCCCCCCTCGAAATCTTGCGGTCGGCAGAGAGGGCGGTCGCAAAGAAGAAGCTCATGTATTGGGTGCTCGCGGATGAGGAACGCCAGCCGCTCCGACCCGCCCCCTTCCTCTTGCCAGTCAAGCAGCTCATGCGCTCCAAGCCCACGGGGACCTGGACAAGGCACCACATCAACAGTGTCAGGACGGTCGCGTTGGGAGGCTACCCTGTTCAGACCGTGTGCTACGAGCGCGGCCAGGTCACGAGCCCTCTGTGCCCTCTGTGCGGCAAGAAGAGGGGCACCTTGCTGCATGTGTATTTTCTTTGTGATGCAGATGTGCGCGTCACGATTCGTGATGGGCTCACGGAGCCGACGCTCAAGCACAGTTTTCGGGACGTGGTGCATTTGGGCGAGACGGCCGCCACGAAGGAGGAGCAGGGCTGCAGGGGCGGCGACGCGCTCTTCTGGAAATGGGCTCGCGGTCTGATCGCGGACCCCGTGGCCGACTACCAGGTGCCCACGCCGCCCGACGAGTGCCAGTGGGGCGACCCCGACGGGGAGATGGTCCTGTCGGGCTGGGTGGCCACGGACGGGCGCGTCCTGGCCCCCGACGTGGAGGAGGTCTCCACGGGAGGCTTCGCCGCCATCACCTGGAGCGCGGAGAAGAAAAGTGAGGTTCAGTCTTTGTTCGGAGCTGTTCCAGTTGCGAGGCCCACGTCGGCCCACTGTGAGATCTGGGCAGTGTACCAGGCTATAAAGCACTCGGTAGGGCTCGTAGGGCTCCTGGCTGATAGTAAGCAGGTCGTTCAGGGGCTCTTGGCTGGTCGAGAATTTTGTGCGAGTAGCGAGCAGATGACCGCGCACCTTTGGAAGCTTGTTTGGGATGCCCTGGAGGATCAGTGTCTCATCCCAGGAGAGCCCCTTCAAGTAGTCAAGATAAAGTCTCACATGACGAAGGCCCAAAGGGCCTGTCTTTCTGGCGAGAATCTTGTGCACTTTGATAGGAATAGGTGCGCGGGCGCTCGTGCAAGACAGGGAGCTGACCCCTATGCCGCCCCAGAGTGGAAGGTGGAACAGGTTCAGCAGTGTCTCAAATTTCAGAAGAGGCTGTTACAGTATGCAGCATCCTTCCGCGTGGATCTTAGTGAAGCCAAAGCTACCACCACGAGCCTGCCGTCTTCTGCTGGTCGGGCTCGGAGGAGCGAACGTTCTGCCCGCCCTTTGGCAGTCGCGCCTGAGCGGGCCCACCGTCTTAGGCTCCTAGAAGGTGGTCGATGGCAATGCCTGGAGTGCTCTCGCCTCGTCCGTGTGGCCTCTCGTCTCAGTATGGCCAAGCGGGAGTTGTGCCCTGGATGGGGGGGGGGCCATTTCAAAAGGCAGGGCCCGTTTGAAAGTCAAGGCCCTGGTCCATGGTGGGTGTGTGACGGACCAGATCCGTGCCGCTGCGGCTGAGAGGGCTGCGGAGGTGAGGGGGTATGGGTCCCGCGTCTCACCCCCGCCCCCACCTCGGGAACACGATGTGGTTGAGAAGGTGGGTTATGCAGTGTGCCGAATTTGTGGGGCTTTCGCCCGTTCCCGAGCCCAGAAGTTGTTGCGGGAATGCGAGGGCCCTCTGACGAAGGGCATTGCCGCCCATCGGTGGCGGAAGCTCTATCGTGATCGAATCCTGGACGGTAAGAATCCGTACACGGGAAAGCCCGTGCGGGAGCAGGATTGATCCCTTCTTGGCCAAGGTGATGTGCGGTCCTGAGGCCCATCCCCAAGAGCCCCCCAGTCAAAAAGAGGAGGAGGAGGAGGAGGAGGAGGAGGAGGAGGAGGAGGAGGAGGAGGAGGA